TTGCAGCCAGCTTTTAGGGCAAAGGCATTGCAGCTCCATCCGGATCAGAACCAGAATAATAAAGGTGCAAATTGATCTCACTATCATCAAATTTACTTGTCAACCTCGTGCATAAAGTTGAGCTCCCAGCTTCTAATTTTCAAACCTTCTTTCTACTTCATAGAAAACCTCCCACCTCCTGGAACTTTCCTCCTGTCTTGTTCTCATTAACATCTCCGCTTTGACTAATTTATACTTCTTTGTTGTGGCAGAGGTTGTTGAAGCTAAGTTTAGGGAAGTTATGACGACGTACAAAGCTATCAAGGGAGAAAGAAAGCTACAATAAGGTGTGCTCATCAAACATTAAAGGAGTTTTGTATTTTCTGTTGGGTTTCCCGCTGGGAGAGTAAATGTGAGACTCATTGGAGTTACAGTATGCACAATATGCGAGAATAAAAGGCTACTGACAAATATCCGTAATGCAGCCATGAAGTACCATTGTTTATTCAGAGGAATTCTTGTTTTAAGTCATTTTCGGTAAATACGGTTGCTTTGCCGTCGTTTGAAAATGGTGCTTCAGATATATACAACAGTATAGTCGCAGTCATGGCTACTGGAGCCAATTGAAGAGGTATACGAAATAGTTGTACTAAAGAGAGTGATTATGTGACACCCTTGGATACCCTCTGTTCTGGCCGCACCCAGGGAAGAAAACGGGAAAAGAAGTGACAATAATTGGAGCTGCTTTCAAATCGGCCAGAAAATGACTTACCAATACCATCTTCAGAACCAACTGGAACAGCAAATGATAACATCATATAGGCATTGATGAGCATATTGTTAGAGCTGAAAATTTGAAACTTCACCATGATACTCAAGTCCTAAGAACTGAAAATTAAGATGAAATAGTTGTACTGAATAGAGTGATTGGTATGGTTTGAATTATCTTCTCTTGCGTTCTAAATTACCCAATTCAGAGGTAGCTAATAGTTTTGCTTTATTTAACATAGTCTGGAAATTATAATACCATTGTGTTCTGCTAAAAGTAGCTGCCATAATCTCAGAATTAGTATTTCATACTCCCTCCGTCCCATAATTATTGTCATGTTAGAGTTTTTATTTCTAGGTCAAATTGTACTAAAAATAAAATCCCAAACTCGACAAGAATTTTAGGACAGAGGGAGTATTTTTTTCTGCAAAGAATTTCAAGTCAAAGTACTCCATTAGTATTTCAAACTGTTGTATTTATTTCCCTTCTTATTTTCAACCCAAAGAAAGAAAAAGTAAAACTGATGTATGATGTATCCAAAGTTTTTAGAGCTTCAGCTTCGGCAGTCTGATGATGACTTTTATTCATAAGATCCTTTCATTGTAGACCGAGTAAGCCCATCATATCCTAAGCAGTTAGCATTTAAGCTAAAAGATTTATTTCTGGGCCTAATATGCATTTGTTGTGAAGGCCCACATATAAGTCGGTGTGCTGGTGTTTTCATGATTACCACTAATGTGAAGTTTGAAATTATTGATAACCAATAATGTTTTATAATAATTCACGTTCTAATTTATGATTTGTACTAATATTTCTAAATAATAAATTGTAATGTGAAAATTTTTTGGAATTAGAAGAATAATATTTCTTCTTGTAAATTGGTTGAAAGCGAGAACATACGTGCAATTTTGCCCCGCACCTTTTCAAAACTTTTAAAAATGGCTAAACGTTCATGATACTACCAAGTTGGCAACATGTTCTACGACACTATTTATTGTTCTTTTTTCAAAAAAAAAAAAAAAAAGAAGAGAGATCGCTCAACAAATTAACAAGATCTAATATTTAATGGTTCAGTTTTGGAATGGGATGTAAAAAAATGAACACGTTCTTTTCTTTGAAATGGTATCACTTGGAATTAAGGTAGGTGAATTGTATCGGAATAAGTTAGTGGTGGGAAACTCCCAGGAACTGTATCTGCATCATTGCATGAAATAACTTCCACTTTTACAAAAGATTACAAACCACAAATCAATACGTGAGATTGGCGTATAAACTCATCAAATACTAAAAATCTCAGTCAAATAGGGACCATTTAAACTACTCCCAAACAATTCCGGCGGCTTTGTAATACCGGTGCGGCAAGAATTAAAAGTTAAAACCTAGTTGTTTTTTTTAGTTGACACGCACGACCAAGGTATTTAGGTATTATATTACTTTTTTTGTCTCAAACTAATTGTTAAAATTTGAATTTTTATTTTAGAATAATTATTTTGAGATAAAAGGAATATAAAAAACTAATTACCAACGTTAAGGGACAATCAACATCTATAATATCATAGTAAGATCAGAAGACTTTTGATGATGGTATTTTCTAGAAGTATTGAACACAAATTAAAAGAAAAAGAAAGACATAATCCAAATCCAAATCCTCCCAAGACAGACAGATCCACGTATGATTGAAGAGGAGAATAAATGTGGTCAATGTGGGCGGTTTCGAATTCTCAATCTTATATATATCTTACTATATTAGAAATAAAAATCACACTTAAGAGAAAGCACCACCATTTATCATGTGTCATTTTCACATCATATTTTTAAAATAAATTTTTATTTCTACATCTCCTAGACTTAAAAGGTAAATGCAGTCCAAATCCACTTCCACCTCTTATTTTCGCCAAAAAAAAAAAAAACAATGGACTCCCTAATAAATTCCTTCTCCACAATAAAAAAAAAAAAATTCCTCATCAATCATCATGAGAATATGTGGTGAAATATATTCCATTCTAATTAGCATGTTCAATCTTTTCATTAGTGATGATCAACTACATCCTAATCGGATAAAATTTCGACTTCAAAAAATATTCTCTTTACCTCTCTATATAAATACAAAAAGAAAAAAAAAAATCTCATTAATCTTGTTTCGGTCGTTGTGGTGGTGCAGTTACAGGTATTAAAATTTAAATAATTTTATTTTCACAGATCATTTGTTTGGCTTTTATTATTTTTTGTTTTTCTCATTCAAGAATAGTTTTATTACTATTATTTTTATACGTCCATCCGTTACAATTACCGTAGCCGTTGTCATGTAATATGATGTGATTTCTTATATGGTTAGTTAGTCTAAAATGTTTGTATGATTTTAGTTCTGTTTGGATTGAATTCATTAATTGGGTTTTTGTTAGAAAATGTGGTTTTTTAAATTTCTTTTTTAAATTTCATTCAATTAGAGTGTTTTTTTTTAATTATGGAGTCTCGATTTTTTTTTCGTATATAGTCAGTTATGAAGTATATTTTTTCTTTGTTTAATTGCTTTTGATTTTGTTTCATACTCCCAGTTGACCAATTATTATTATTATTATTATTATTATTTTATTTGCAAATGAAACGCATTTTTTTTTTGTGTTCAGGCTTTCAAGAATATACTTTTTAAGATTTGATTTTTGAACTTTTTTTAGTTCCTCATCATATAAATAGTTGAGGTCGCTTCTTCTAATTAATTTATGGGGAGGCCTTTTATGAATTTGAGGCTGAGAGGGAAGGAATGATGTTTCTACGTTTATTTGTGTTTTTATCCAAATAAATTTCTCAATTTTTAATGGGCTATCTTTTAATTTCTTTTTTTTTTCTTTATTTGCCATGATGAGGTGAGTTCGTTTTTGCTATAACTTGAAACCTATACAAATTTACATTATTTTCATTCTCATATTTGTGATCAACCAGTTTCAACAATTAACCAGTTTCAAAATCATATTTTTGATATTTTACTACCTATAAACTTTTGGAAGAAATAGTTCCAACAATTAAGCGTATACCTTTGGGAGGAAGCTTACTACAAAACTATTATAAATTTTCAAAACTAAGTATTGATTTGGCACAACCATTGGAGAACATTAATAAATTATCTTACTAATATTTAAACTTATTGGCATGCTTTCACATTTTGTCTAGCATTTACTTCTAGACATATATTTGATCAAGTTTATTTATATTTAAGAAATAACACTTATAAAACATTTCTAAAATCTTCAAACATTTCTAATATATACCGAACCAAATACAATTTATTTTTATGCCAAATACAAACATTTCTATGATCATAGTTATAAAACATTTCTAAATTCTTCAAAAATTTCTAAAATATATCGTGCCAAATACAAAATATTTATTTTTTTTCAGATACAAATATTTCTAAGATCTACAGATACATTGGGCCTGGGTCGCGCATTGCGCGACCAGACATCACTAGTATATATATATATATATATATATATATATATATATATATAGGAAAAATCTAGAGTCTCGTTGGGCATTTTAACGGAACCATCCCTTTTTTTCTTTAACCAATCAGAATTGAGGGTGTAACATGTATTCATGGAGTGAGTAACATGCTAACATATCCCAAATTAATTTTCATTTAAAAGTTTGAAAAAAAAAATAACTATAACCTGCTAACCAAGGTTGTTTACATAGATAAAATTACAACCATCGCCATCCGATCAGGTCGAATCACCACCTCACTAATTTTCGGCCAGAAGTTTTTCCCTGGTGCCGGAATTTCACTTAATCTCAATTAATTTCCTTGAGCATAAATAAGAGGTTTTTACCCGCTTTGAAATTAAGGGTTAAGCCATGATCAATTTAATTCGAATTAGAGATCCACTGAAAATTCAAGGTATTGAGTACATGAATCCACTAAAGAGCAACTCGACAAATTCATCATCATAAAAATGAGCATAATCAAGGATCAATTTCTTCAAATTGGGAAAGTTGACAACGGGAACCTTGAGGGAAAAATTACTATCTTTTTTTTTTTTTTGAATGAAAACTACTAATATATGACATATTACCATCCAACCAAAATTTAGAAACAAGTTTAACTATCATTATATTGTTCTATCATGGATTTATGACACAAAAGTACCCAAAATCATAACAATTTAATCATATGCTAAAAAAAAGTAGACAAAACCAGGATTAGACAAAACTGAGGTTATAAAAACAAGCTTTAAGCAGGTAACATTCCCACTATTTACTTGAAGCACTTGGCATCCAGTAGTAGTGCTTCACCCTCGAAAGGCTCAGCATCCTCAATCATCTGATTCACACGCACTTTCTGTGCTTCATCGTTGATGTCAACCTCCTTCCACTCATACAACTCCATGTTGTAGCACTCATCGAGCACGAATTTTGGGATACCTTTACCATGGAAAAAAGCCACAAACCCTTGACTTTGAACGGAGGCTCTGAACCAATCACCAACATTTTCCCAAATGCATATTTGCAAGTAATAATATCATCTGACAATGCGACAGTGTCTCCAACCAAGAAAGTGCGAGAAGCGAGATGGGTATTCAAAGCCCCAGGTGCCCTTTTCAAAGCAGTGATTGCAGCTTCCTCAGCCGGAGGAAGGTAAACTTGATAACCAAGCCGGGGATATAGCCATTGACCTGTGTTAGCATCAATCTCAGTGGTAGCAAAATAAATCCATTGTTCAATTTTGCCCTGTTTAGCAAATAAATTAAAGCACAAGCAAGATACTAGTTAGAAACATGCTCATTCGGAAGGTAACAGATGATGTTGAACCTTAAAAAAATAAAGGGATTTTGCTTACATGTTCAATGAGAGTTGAGCCAAAAAGCGGATTATTAGCCTTCAACTTTTTAACTGTAGCAAGTTAAAATGAATGAGAAAAAGAATAACCAGTAGCTACAAATTAAATCAAAACGTCTTAAAGGAGAAAGCAAAGAAGAAACTCACCATAACAAGCAATAGCTATACTCTTGAACACAGGCCCCTCTGGGGTTTTAAGAATAGGAATCTAAAAGAGCATTGACAAAAAAAGTTTAGACACCAAAAACAAACTAAAATTACTAGCAAATGATCATATCCCCGGAGATTGATTCTATAACAATAATTAGCCCAAAAAGTACCATAACTTCGCCTGCTATATTCGTTCGCCACCATAAGTTCAAAAATAACTTAAGATCCAAAATGACAAAATTGCTCAAATATCCTACAAAAATATTGACACAAGAAAGAAAAGAGAATAAAAATAAAAATAAAAATAAAAATAATAAATTAATAAAACAAAGGAAACTATATACAAATCTAAATTTATAAAAGAAACAATAATTAACCCAAAAAGTACCATAACTTCGCCTGCTATATTCGTTCGCCACCATAAGTTCAAAAATAACTTAAGATCCAAAATGACAAAATTGCCCCTTCTAGAAAGGCACGTGAAAGTCAGCCTTCTGTTACTTTTTGGACGGTGAACGGACGGAAAAGTGAAAGAAGACAGAAACTCAACTTTTAATGGGACTTAAGTTATTTTTGAACTTATGGTGGCGAACGAATATAGCAGGCGAAGTTATGGCACTTTTTGGGTTAATTATTGATTCTATAATATACCTTCCCAAGGGGATTCATTTTCAGGAACTCGGGAGTCTTGTTGGTAACTCCCATCTGAAAATCCTTTGCCAACTCTACTTTGACATCACTATACTCTGCAGCAATCAATGCTTTGAGAGCATTTTGTTTCCACTCGTCGCGTGAATTGTCAGAGCCATGGCGCCCAGCTTTTGAGCTTAGGGATCCAAAATGGAGCCGTGCGCTAGCGAGAGGAAGAAGAAACGGGTGCTAGGGAAAAATTACTATCCAAATACAACTTCAATAAGCTAGTGCATGCATTAAGACTTGCAACTAACTTACAAGAATCTCTAATTGAGGCTTTTAGACAAACACTTTGGACACCAAGCATGGCAGCACCGCGAAGCCACAAACAGATGCAATCATCTGTGTACTTTTTCTGACATTCGAGTCTGAATTTACAAATACTAGCGTTATTTTGGAGCAAACTCTTCAAAACCCCGCCAACAAAATCAATAAAACTACTTTCATGCTCAAAAAATTTCGCCGGATTTATCCGCCATATCTGTATCTTTTTACAACTGAACCAACCACCCCAAACAAAAATTGAACGGGTTATTCAACTCATTACTCTCAAACCTAAAATTAAACGTATGAAAGCTCCATAATCGACAACCATGGAAGGATTGAAGAGATTGTAATTGAGATTATAATTGGCGAGGTTGGGCGGCCGTAAAGAGAAGAGTAAAAAGAAGACGAAAAAGAGGTATAATTAGGTGGATTTAGGTCTATTTTCTTTACGATATACTATATTTCTAATCTTACGATTGTTATTTACTTTAATTGATCCTACGGTTATTAACTTATAACGGAACCGTCCCGTAACAGGACTCTAGTCGCTCCTTATTTTATATATATATATATATATATATATATATATATATATATCCTACTATATTAGAAACAAAAACCTCCCTTTTAAACACCTCATATGATTACCACGTGGCATGTAGAAAATACTACATTGCCCTTTTGTCTAACCATAACTAAATTACTAAATCTCCCTCTGCACTTTACATGACACGTTTTTTTTTAAAATTTTTTCTTTATGTTTCATTCAACTAGAGTGGTTTTTTAAATTGAATTGATCAATTAGGTTTTTTGTTACAAAGTATCAATTTTGTTTTAAGCGTATACCCTTCGGATGAAGCTTATTACAAAGCTATTAAAAATCTCCAAAACTAAGTATTGATTTGGCACGACCAATGGAGAACGTCAATAAATCATCTTACTAATATTTAAATTTATTAGGATGCTTTTATATTTTATCTAACATTTACTTCAACACATAAATTCGATTAAGCTATTTATATTTAATAAGTAACACTTATAAAATATTTCTAAAACATACATGCGAAATACAATTTTCTTTTTGCGAAATACAAATATTTCTATGATCACACTTATAAAATATTAAATCCTTCAAACATTTCTAAAATATATCGCTCCAAATGCAAAATTTTATTTTTTTCAAATATAAACATTTCTAAGATCTACAGATAGACTGGGCCAGGATCGCGCATTGCGCGACCAGACATCACTAGTATATATCCTACTATATTAGAAACAAAAACCTCCCTTTCAAACACCTCATATGATTGCCACGTGGCATGTAGAAAGTACTAAATTGCCCTTTTGTCTAACCATAACTAAATTACTAAATTTTCCTTTGCACTTTACGTGACACGTTTTTTTTTTTTTTTTTTTCTTTATGTTTCATTCAAATAGAGTGGTTTTTTAAATTGAATTGATCAATTAGGTTTTTGTTACAAAGTGCCAACTTTGTTTTAAGCGTATACCCTTCGGATGAAGCTTATTACAAAACTATTAAAAATTACCAAAACTAAGTATTGATTTGGCACGACCGACCAATGGAGAACATCAATAAATCATCTTACTAATATTTAAATTTATTAGGATGCTTTTATATTTTATCTAACATTTACTTCAACACATTTATTCGATTAAGGCTATTTATATTTAATAAGTAACACTTATAAAACATTTCTAAAACATACATGGCGAAATACAATTTCTTTTTTTTTTTTGTGTGAAATACAAATATTTCTATGATCACACTTATAAAACATTTCTAAATCCTTCAAACATTTCTAAAATATATCGCTACAAATACAAAATTTTATTTTTTTTCAAATATAAATATTTCTAAGATCTACAGATAGACTGTGCCAGGGTCGCGCATTGCGCGACCAGACATCACTAGTATATATAGATACTATCATATTATTCCTCTGATCTTTGATTCCAACGTTGAAAACAAAAAAAGAAATGGTAAAACGAAAAGCATTACGCAACCACCCCAAGTGGGCTTTATTTCAAAAAAGCTACTTTGGCTAAGGCTTGGAATAGTTATTAATATATTAATATTTTAATTTGTTTTGTCCCTCAATACCTCCTCCTTCCAATCCTTAATGACTTGAGATTTTTATGTGAAATCTCTCAGTTCGCCGTCGACTTTTCCGAATCATAATACAATGTACAGAACTTAGAAGAATGAACATCAACTCCTCTTGGTCCATTTATGCTAAGGTTTTCTACCGACTGAACGAAAATTTTTTTAGCCAGCTACCTACTATGAGCAAGAGAGTGAGTCACTCTTGTAGAGAATAGACATCCTCGAATAATATGAAACAAGAAAAAAAAAATAAAAAAAAAGCTAATCTCAAATAATTAGAAACGATAATTTCTAATCAAAGTCAAACATGGTCTTTTTCTAAATATGTATCAATCATGTACAATTAATCAGTGACTCAGAACAGTACTTGACCACACTTGCTGGTGTTTTGAGTTCAATCCAGAATCATCAAATAACTATCTTAATTTTCATTTTTCTTTTCGAGAATTAGAGTGATAAGCGCAGAGGATCAGCTCATTCTTTTTTTTTTTTTTTTCATATTGTAGAGTGTCCACTGTTAGTCGTTCTCTCATAGTAAGTATCTCGATAGGTTGGAGAGCCAATTCTTTTTCGTATTAAGAAACCAAAAAGTGCATACAGCTGGGATTAACTTGAAGGGCCTGACCCAATAATAAATTAGATAAATGCTTAAAATTATCAGTGTAAGAGGCCCTAAAATCTGTAATCATGTCAAAGTAACTAATTTGGAGAGGACATCAGCCGCAACAACAATTAACCTCCGATAAAGGTAGTATCCACCAAAAGGAAAGACACTTGATGCTCAAAAGTAGAGTATTGGAGAGAAGACAACCAATCGATGTATTCAACGCATATATGATACTAAGGCCTGGTTTACAAAAATGTTGATCTTTATATCTGTTCTAGTTTCCATTCACTTGAAATTTGAGGTTAAGAATATATAGCCACTGATGTAGCTGGACCAATTCCCTATCTTCGCTCCGCAATATCATAGGGATATCAAGTCAATGTATATACTTCTGGATTGGAAGTACATCGCAAAACTATCCGATTTCGGGGACCTCAAGAACTGTTGCAAATTGTAATCGATAGAACTCACTTGACTACTCAAGTGAAGGACACTTTTGGGTATCTTTTCCCGGTATACTTCCAATCATCCATGTCCACCGAGAAAAGGGAGTTTTGGGGTTGTTCTTGTTGAGGTGTCGACGAACAGATGCACATTCTGAATTTGCTGCAACAACACATTGACCAAAAGCTCTAGAAAAGAAAATGAATTTCATCTAAAGTTAAAAGGACAGGAAAGAAAGAAACTATTGCGTGGCGATACAATGCTAGTATGATAAAGAAGAGTACAAGCTGTCAGGTGGAATCTGGCTTGAGATCTCTCGTCTCCTACTATTGTTGTGGTCCTTGTGGATATCTGCACCATCCACGCTCTTTATCCCAAACCGAAATGATAGGAATCCGACTAATTCTTTGATACTCCTGACTCTCTTTATCCTGGTTTTGCAGCGGAGCGATCACCTTTTCGCTCATATCATCCAAAACTAGACATTGGAGCCTGGTCAAGTACTGTACCCCCCAGGAAATTCCTCTAGCGATTTCAAGGACGCCAAAGTTAATTCACGAAGGTTAGGCATTGCACCTTCCTCCACTTCCAACCATCTCAAACAGTGTAATGTGCCGATAACCAATCGGTCAAGCTTCAAAAGGCATCCGGTTTTAAAACACAAACTCTCTCCTTTGAAAGCGTTATAGATATGAACTGACCGCAAATTTGGCAAGTGTTGAAGGGATTCAAACGGATCCTCCTTTAACCTGCTCCAACACAAGTCTATCGAGGTTAGTTCTTGCAATGAAGGCACTATCTGGGGCAGCTTTAGCAAGGGACCCCACAAAGATAAAGCTTGGAGAGTCTGGAGACTTGAACACACTGAAGAGTTCATATCTTCCAATTCAAACGTTTCATCTGATTGAAGACATAAGTCACCAAGATTGGAGAGCTTTCCAAGGGAGGAACACAGCTGCTTCTCATCTTTTCTTCTTAACCTGGAGATGCCGAGTACCCTCAATTGCTTGAGCTCACCTATTTGTCTTATTAATGTTTCGTTTGCTTGTATGTAAGATAACCTCTCCAGGGAAAGAAGCTTTGCAATGTTCTTCGGACCCACACATGCACGCATGGCCGTCCAATTAGCACCTGTTTTATCAACACGTGAAACGAGTAGATGAGTGAGTCGTTGTAGGTTCAGAATTTCTTCTGGTAACTCAGTCACTTTCGTCTCTGAAAGATCCAGAAACTCGAGATTTTCCAAAGACCCAATGGAGTTTGGAACGACTTCAATAGTTGTTTTCCTTAGACTCAGACTTTTGAGATGATATAACCTCAACACTTCTTCTGGAAATGTTTTCAACTGTGTGCCTTCTAAATCTAATACCTTCAGTAGCTTAGCATCGCCTAACAACTTCGATAGCAAATCTATGGACAAAGGTTCTTCCGATTTGAAGCCCACCAAAGATCGTAAATACTTGCAGCTGATGCTTTCCAGTGTCTTCGATTTGAAATCATGGACCGCCAGGCGTCTGACTCTTTTAGTCCAGCGCCCTGTTTGTTCCCTTGTGGCTATGGCTGCAAAATTTTGTCTACTCAACTTTGAAAGCAGAACTTCCCGTAAAAGATCATGAACACAACATACTCTCTCTCCAACTCCATATGCACCTTGAATCGTTTTTGGATCATATAGAACTTGAATCAAGCTTCTATTAGCAAGTTCATCAAAATAGCCTCTGCCAACATCATATTTGCTCATCCTTGTCTTCTCTCCGACCAGTCCCTCTGCGATCCAACATCGAATAAGTCTCCGCTCACTGATTAGGTGATCCCCAGGGAAAATACTTGCATATAGCAAACAAAGTTTCAAATGGTACGGCAG